AATGTTTTAATCATGCCGAAAGTCTCTTTATATTTCTTCTTGACGTCAGACAGAAGGAAATCTTCTGCTGTTGGATAGTTTTTGTTCAGAAATGCTAACATGTCCATTTTATCTTCTGCTGGCTTTTCTGCTTCTTTCTTTAAGTCTGCATAGTCGTTTCGCATACGTTCTATCTCTTTGACTGAGTAGTTATATTTTCTTATTTCTGCTTTACATTTTGAACATTGCGGATTCATTTTTGCGTTATACATTGAAATTTGACCTGCTAGAACAACTAAGGCGTCAATGGTTTTCTTTAACTCAAAAGCTGCGGGTTTTATTTGTCCGTTCCATACTTTACCTCTTCTATCTTTATCTCTTATCTGCCATACACATTTTGCAACTAATGAAACAAAGTTGTCGTATGTCTTAAACTCCTCCGATTTATATATATCAGAAACATTCTTATATACCATATCGCAATCTTTGTCCATAACTTTATGGTTGCAATGATATCCTAGAAACTCATAGTTAACCTTACGTATGAACTTCTTTATTTCTACTGAATCAGTAACTTTAACTTCAATTTCATCGAATTCAGGAATAGTTAGTTTTTGTTGTTGGATTTCAGGCAATTTGGGTAAATGGTCAATAATGTCCTGCATGTCATAAAGATATTCTTCATTTTCTTCATCCTGTGCGGTACAGTCTAAATTACTTGTTAAAAGTTCTTGCTTTATTCTTTGTATTTCTGTTTCGAAAGTAAATGAAGAAGGAATGAAGCTTTTCATCTCTACTAACATTGATGTAGGATTCATGACTAACGAGTTTGGTGCTGTTGTTGTTTGAATTGTTGTTGTGCCGATTGTTGAAATCATATCTTTTATACAAAATAAAAAAATAAATAAAAAAAAATTAGCGTTATTTTTCTTTCATAAGGAAATACATGAAAAATTCACGGGGGTGAAAAAACAGGTGAAAAAACGGGTGAGATCTCACCTCTTCACCTAAACATTATTTTTGGTGAAAAATGACCAAATTTCATGAATTTTCACAAAAGACCAAAAATAAACGCTTTACATGTATTTTTCAGCAACTTCGTCAAATAATTTTATAGCACTATCTATCTCATCTACTTCAAACGTTTCTTTACCTTTCGTGGGAGCACCATACATTTTCTCAAACTTTTCAAGTAGTTCTGTTTCTGCAGCTCTCATATCATTAACGAACACAACCTTGACTCTATTGACTGTACTGTCATATCTTTGAGTTATATTATATGTCCTTCCTATCTTATATCTCTTTGTATTGAAGTCCTTCGGTTTCTGAACGATGTAAAGTAAGCCTTCACTGCAACGTTCCGTATCGAATGAACCATATGTTATGAAGTTATATCCAACAACTGGATCAATCCATAGAAGAATTATTGGTATAAGACTTTTGTCAATGAGATATACTCTTGTTCCATGAAATGCTACTGATATCATAAGCTCAGGATTTCTTGTCAAAATTTTCTGAGTAGAAGCAATTCTAACCCAGTCCTTTGCTTTCTTTCCAGATGGTGTTATAATGTCTGACAAAGAATATTTGTTGTATTTCTTTGAGTATCTTACGTTTAAATCACCAATTCTAACCACTTTGGTGTCATTGTCTATCTTTTTAACTGTTTCAAACTCAATGTTTGTCATTTCTGTCTTTACATACAAAATAAAAAAATAAATAAAAATAAAATTAGCGTTATTTTTCTTTCATAAGGAAATACATGAAAATTCACGGGGGTGAAAAAACAGGTGAAAAAACGAAACAATAAGAATTACCGAAAAAGTGACAAAACATCAAAAACAGGGAGGGGGTCTCAATTTTTATTACTTATATTATTTTACAATATTTATATAAATACTCTTTATAATATATTTTACTATAAAATTATACCTCAAATTCAAATATTTAAAATATTATTTACATAATTATCTCAAAATTATATTTTTATATATTATTTTTCATATGTATAAATCATATAATCTATATCTATGCAAATCTCATCTAAATTTTTTTGAAACAAACCGCTACCATTTTATAATGGTCCATCAGAATTCATCATAAATTCTGGTACATGTTAGTACCAGAATCTTCAAATCTCAAACACTCTGGTACCAACATGTACCAGACGCGAGTTTCCAATGCCCTCGTACGATTTTCTATTCAGATCTTCTTGAATGAGAAGGTCTTCATAGAAACTCGTACGAGGGCTTCTCTTTTAAATACTCTGGTACCTGCTGGTATCGGAGTCGACTTTACAGCCCTTTCCCCAATTTTGAAGCTGGGGAAAGTTTTCAAGCAATGAAAGGGAAGCTCTCGCTATGAGGTGAAAATCTAGAATCTTTACCTCATAGCGAGTAATCCTTTGTTAATTGCTTGAAAACTTTCTTCAAATTATCAAAATTTCGAGGAAAGTTTCCTTGCTTCAAAGTAGAGATGGAGCCCTTTGAGCCACTGCATATAGGTCAGTGACTCAAAATACTCCATCTCTACTAGAAATCGCCAAAATTTGGGTCGCAATCTTTGAAATGCGACGCAAGTTTTGGCAATTTCGCGAGGGACTTGCTCCATTTGGTGCATAGATTCACACTCTATGCACCAGATGGAACAATTCTTTCGCTGACAGCGGGAAACTTTGTCTGAATAGTTTAACATTCAGACAAAGTTTTCCGCTGTCAGAGAGGGAATGGAAGGGTAAGAGGTATATATTCATAATGTATACCTCTTACTCTTCCATTCCCTCAAGAAAGTTCAAAAACTTGGGTGCAATCAGTTCTGATTGCACCCAAGTTTTTGAACTTTATATAAGGAATTGTTGGCTATGATGTACTGATTCATGATCAGTACATCATAGCCAACAATTCCTTCGCAAACAGTGGGAAACTTTGTCTGAATAGTTTAACATTCAGACAAAGTTTCCCGCTGTCAGGGAGGGAATTAGAGGGTGGGAGATATATAGATAGACTATAAATCTCTCACCCTTTAATTCCCTCAAGAAAGTTCAAAAACTTGGGTGCAATCAGTTCTGATTGCACCCAAGTTTTTGAATTTTGTATAAGGAATTGTTGGCTATGATGTGGATAGCCGCTGCCAGACCAAATGAATTAACCGTTGTGAATAACGTTTCTGAATCTTTATTTAAAAAGATAAAATATCACGATTTTGGCTGCGTTAAAAATCAAAGAATTGATGTTTTTGTCAAAAATCTTTTAGAAGAAGTTGCACCCAATTACTTTTATCGTATTAAAAACGATTTACTTCAAAGAGGTTTTATTCCTTCAATTAGAATTCGCGAGCCTCGATTGACAGATTATAAAACAAAATTGAAAAGAGAAGTTCAATCACGTTTATACCAAGTATTAAATTTTGTTCAGAATCAAGAAGCCAATTTGAATCCATTAAGATTTTTATTGGAAAATGCTGAAGAAAAACTTTCTCAAATAAATGAGAAGATACAAAATTCAATTACATATTTAAGATCGTTTGAAATTCCAAATGAATTGTTAGATACGTATATGTTAGAAATTAATGAATTTTGTTATAATTCTCCAGATTATATTTTAGAACATTTCGAAGAATTTTTAGAGGATTTCAAAGAAAAGAATAATTTAATAGACTAAAAATTTATTATTTTTATTTATTGTGAATTTTAAATTGTCACTTTTTAAGTGTTACTCCCTATTGAAAGTGTCACTTTTTGGGTGTCACTTTTTCGGAAATTCTTATATACTCGTGAAAAAACGGGTGAGATCTCACCTCTTCACCTAAACATTATTTTTGGTGTAAATTTATGAAAACATTAATAATTCCATGACTGTTCTCGTTCATGTCTGATTTACATCTAATGAAAAAGTTTAGATGAATTTTCTTATTCTTTCTGGCATATTTTTGTCTTTCCAATACTCCCGCTCTAATGGTCCCAGATGTGTTGGCTTCGACTCTCTCAAGTTCTTAGATGATATAACATCTTCAACGCCTCCTTCATATCTTACTTTATAAGTGTCATCGTTTGTGTTATAGCCAAGTATTTCAATAACCACTCCTCGCTTTGCTTCGTCAATGGTTTCAGCAAGTTTGCCATTACTACTTTCGACTAATTTATGACGAGGATAAAACGCTATGGAGTCGTCAGCAGCTTTTATAAGATATCCATTACCTTGCGTAGAGTCTAAGATATAATAATTTCGACTTAACCTTAAACGTTTCTTTGTCAACGGTTTGTCGTCAAGAACTACACGAACTTTTGTACCAGGAATGAGGGTAAATTGTTTTGAATTTCTGATATTTTGTGTTTGGCTTTGTTTCTTTTGTATATACTTTTCTTCTTGTTGTTGTGTCATTGAATTTGGTGTATGTCCTGTTGTAGAGTGTGTTGAGGAATTATATACTTCGAGAAAATGTTTCATTGTTTCTTCGGTAAAGTCTCGCTCTTGGTTTAAATCTCTGAGCGTTCTTATGAAGCGATTAATGATACCTAAAATATTATGGTTATGGTCTTCAGTAGTGTAGTGAATTATGTTATGCTTAATGAGAAATTCTGTGATTTCGTTGCTGAGGTATGCACTGTCTTGGTCTGATGTTAAAGTACTTGGGTTATGTTCTGCTACAAACTTTTGCAAAACTCTTAACACTTCACGAGTTCCTTTGTTCCTCATTGGATATGCATATGCTTTACGAGTGTTAACATTAATGAAGATGAGGAATGGTTTATGTCCTCCTTTTCTGCTTTGAATGAGAGTGTCAAATTGGTATGCGTCAGGAGTGTTGGAGTAAATTGGTAAAAAGTAGTCGTAAGGATTTATTTTTGTTTGATGTACAACATTTTTGTCAAAGAACCTTTTCACTTCAGCTCTGTTAGTAAATCCCGAACTCTTTGCAGCTTCATTGAATTTCTTAAAAGACCTCCATGGATGTTGTTCGAATACTTCTTTCAAGCTCATTTATGTAAAGTTAAAGATTTTTTATTCTAGGCTCAAGCGCGTTCATTGAACTCTATACCATGCGAATACAGTCACAAATGGTGGCATATAATCTGCACCCGAGCCTGTTGGATTTGTTGTGAAAGTATGTGAATGATTTCCTCCTGGTTCAGTTGGTCGAAAAGTCTTTTTTGCTGCATTGTTATAAGATGGAGATAAAACGTCATTGCCAGCTTCATACTCTGAGTTGTATAATGGGTGGTCTCTTAATGAGTGGCTATGGTCGCCAGAAAAGTTTGTAGTTCCTGTATGAGTGTGCGGTGGAAGGTTTGCTTCAGTAATTTTCTTCGAACCTCCTGTTTGCTTTGAATATCTAGCACAGTATAAGAATTTATCTACAATCTGTTCCCACGTACCGAAACCCAGAACTGTTGCTGGATTTGTTGAGTTCATTGACGTATAAATAGAACCTATAGGATATAATGTTTGAAGTATTTCTGTCTTTAATGTTTGAAGCTCTGTTTTGTCTGCTTTCTTATCTAACATTGTTGGTAGTTCATATGCTTCAAAGTTTCTGGCATGACCTTCGATATTCCTGCAACTCTTATCTAAATTGTTAAGAGTATCTTTTACGCTTGTACTTGGATTCTCTAAAGGTGCACTTGAACCAAGGTCAAAGTTCAATATTATGTCGTCTGCTCTAACAGTAGTGAAGGATTTATGTGTATGGTTCTTGTCAGCTTTATTATCTAACATTGTTGGTAGTTCATGTGTTTCAAAGTTTCTGACATGACCTTCAATGTTCATACATTTACTATTTAAGGAGTTTAGTGTATCTTTTACGCTTATACTTGGATTCTCTAAAGGTGCACTTGAACCAAGGGTATAGTTCAATATTATGTCGTCTGCTCTAACAGTAGTGAAGGATTTATGTGTATGGTTCTTGTCGGCTTTACTGTCTAAAGAAGTTTGAAGTTCATTTATATCGGAGATGTTGTGTTTATGAGATTTCAAAACTTTGTTCATTGCTTCGAGTTCAACTTTGTCAGCTTTACTTTTAATAGCATCTTCAAACGTTATTTTTGACTTAACTCTCAAAGTAAATCTTGGTTCAACTAATACACCTTTAACAGAGAAAGTAGAGGCATAAATTTCATCGTTATAACTAAATGCTTCTTGTGCTTTACCTGTGTCATAATGTACAGTACAGCTTATGTCATAACCTTTAGCACGAATGTATTTATATCTTCTTTCATTAACATCTTCAGTGCTTATTTGTTCATTCTGTGTTAAATATCCATGGTAGTCCGTTATAATCTGTTCGTCTGAACTTATATAATGAACATGGTTTTTATCTGCTTTTTCGGCTAATTTCTCATTAACATCATTCACTTCTAATTCAACTCTTCCGCCAGAACTCTTATTATCATTAATCTTTTTCATTAATTCGGTAATTACGTCATAAAGACTATATTCTGTTTTCGGTTTTGTAAATAATGAGTCAAAATTTCTTTTCATCATTACATCGCTGACATTAATGATATCACCAATTCCTTTTTCATTTATTCTCTTCATTAGTTCTGCAATAATGACGAATATATAATCTGTTAATTTATTCTCTTCATCGAGGGTTATAGAATGTTTTGAAATTGAATCATTAACTCCTCTAAATAAATCAATAACTTCAGGATACACGTTTTTAATGTCTCGAATAACCCGACCAGTATCCTGTTGTTCATGTTCTTCGTTCCCGTCGTTACGTGGTTTTATATCTCTAACCATCATCAACGCAGCCATAACCGGAGGGTTTGTTGCTATCTGTTCGAAAATCTGACCGTTATGTATGGTATATCTAAATAATTTCTTTGTGTTTGTTAAAACATTTGAAACAAGTCTTTTAAAACCATCTACAAAATTTCCTGTTTCACCTAATGTTCTTGCAGCATTTACAAGCTCACCCATGCCCGCTTTTGACCCCAAAAACGTCCATATTGCATTTATTTCACTCTGTATAGTTGTCCATTCAGCAAAATTAATTCCTGCATTCGCTAAGCTGAAAATGAAATTCAGTGGATCGAACTTAATTCCACCTTCTTTTTCAATTTCAACGAACTCACTAACATGAGATTTTAAATATTCTTTCGTTAAAATTGTTTTCCCCGATGTTATGTCATTAACGAAACTATCACCGTCAAAAAGTTAACGAATTCAATTTCGTCGTTGATGCTTTTATTTCATACACCGCTTTATTGATAGTTTTTGGCTCACCTTCTTTAGAAGCATATGAAACATTAATGAATGAATTATATGTATTCATGAATGAGTTAAAATCAATGATTTTCATTAATGACGCCTTTAATGATTCATTTACTGTCGAATCCCTTAAAGTAATTAATGAACTGTCATTTATGAAAGGTACACTGCAAACCGTCGAGTTTGGATCAAATGCTGTAGTTGGTGCAGGAATATTAATGATATAAGTCATTAAATCATTAAGTGACGTAAATAATGTTGTTGTTTTTGATTTAATTTCTTTAGCATCTGTTATATACGGTAATTTTATTTCTGTAGTTTCTGAATTAAAGATATTCGCTAAAATGTTTTGTAAACTGTTTTGAACAGCTGTGTAAACCGTTGAATTCGGAACTCTTACGATTTCACCGTCCTTAATAAAAGGCATTGCACATGGTGTAGTGCTTGGGTCAAATCTTTCGGGATTATAATTCAACATATATTCTAACGCTTCATGAACAGACTTATATACTGTTGTGTCGTTCTTCATGACAACTTCACCATTTACAATGAATGGCATAGTACATGGAGTTAAAATAGGGTCAAACTTTTCATAGTCCTTCCATGTTATGTATTTCTCAGTATTTCCATCAGTGATAACAATATATTTGTCAGTAAGTGTGAGAGAGTATTGACCAAAATATAAACGTTTAGCTCTGTCAGCTTCATACGCATATGCAGCTATACTCATATTTTTAATGAGAATAAAATGTTGTTCTATTTGCAAAGTACAGACCCAAACGAATACGGACAGTAAAGCTACAAACAAACTTAGGTCTACAGAATGAGGCGCTTGCATTCAGAATGGTTGACTTCAATACTATCGCTTCATTCGTTATAACAGATGAAACAGATTTCATGGAGATTGAAATAGATGGAAAGAAGCACGAAATAAGATTTCACAATAATGTAGAATATAAGATGGAAACATTAGCTGGAGTGTTAAATGCTCTCATAAATACTACAATAAACAAGGATAACGAAGAAAACTTAATGAATGTTAAACTTATTGCAGGAGTTTTGAAGTTCGGTTATGTGAAGGAGTTTAAGATACCAAGAATGAGTCATAGAGTACAACTTCTTTTGGGTGCATACCATATGACATTTCCTTTGAAAAGTGTTGACAAAACGATTGAGATGAAATCTGTTCCATACGTATGTTATGGCAACTGTTTGTACATTGAGTCAAAAATAGCTAATGTCACAGGCATTTCAGGAGTTAATAGTAAAGGTTCAGTAGAATATAAGTCTTTCTGTTATGCAGTCAATTCAATGTTCATTCCAAACGTTCCTGTCATAGCAACTCATTTAGGTAAATGGGTTCGCATTAGTCCTCATAATTTGAAAGACATGCAATTCAGACTTGTTGACTTTCAAGGAGAGCCTGTAGAACTGAAGGCACCAGTGCGAATGACTGTTGAAGTTGACTTTTTAGAAAATATTAAATGCAACAGCTTACAAGAGAACTCAGAGCTAAAAATATAAAGTATGAATGTTATGTATTAGGTCATGAACTTTGGTTGTTGCTATAGATCCGTATTTTTCCCAAGTGAGCGGGGTATCTCCAATCCCAGCCCTATCGTCCTCCCAGTGTCAGTTTTCAATATAAAATCCAAATTTTTTTTGAAAATAAAAATTTCGAGAAATTTTTTTTGATTTTTTTCTTTGATTTCAATAATTCAAAATAAATTTGGGAGTAAAAAGACACTATTTAATGAATTCATATGAGTGAATGTGGATAAATACTCTCAAAACATACAATTTATCTATTTTTTCTTTATATTATCAACTAATTAGTGATAATTTTTTTTGAATCAGATTTTTTTTTCATTAAAAACATAATATATAACACAACAATGATGCACACATACGTATCTACACATCAAAATATAAAGCTTGTTTTGGTCTGGGCATCCCAACCCAAAATTCTTAAAAAATTGAATAAAATTGAATACTTGGGGCTGGGATACCCATCCCAAAACCGAATTGAATTTTTTGAATTAAAGAATATATTTATGTATTTATAATATACATGTGATGTCTATAAAAAATACTAAATTCTAAAAAAAATTCAATTTATTCAAAACGTATACTAAGTGATCACTTCATTAGTAGGATCAGCAATCCTACTAAATGGTGAGAACGCCACTAACTAAAAAGGGAGTCCTTGGAGCTCTTGATCTCTTGTCAGTAGAGTTCATAATGAGGCATGGCATCTACTGATTAGAGATCAGAGCAATCCTACCTTACCTTCAGGAGCTACAAAGCTCCTAATCGTTACGAGGGGAGCCTTGGAGCTCCTGAAGCTCATCAGCAGAGGCTATTTACCATTTGGGCCTCTTCTGATGAAAGATGCGAAACACGTCTACGAACCAGGAGCTTCAAAGCTTCTAATCCTTACTAAAGGGAGCTTTGGAGCTCCTGAGTCTCCATCAACAGAGTCCCAGATGGTAAATGTCCTTTGCTGATGAAAGATGCGAAACACATCTACGAACCAGGAGCTCCAAAGCTCCTAATCCTTACGAAAGGGAGCTTTGGAGCTCCTGAAACTCCTTTTACTATAAAATAGGACAGTTTTCTTCTGAGGTTCTCATCAAATCTAAGACTTCAGAAGAAAGCTGTCCTATCAATGTATACTTACACTCTCATGGACTACAAGTGTACAATTTTAAGGCAGAGATTATCCGAGGCCTCTCATCAAATGAGGGACCTCGGATAATCTCTACCTTAAGTAGTCAAATAACTTTTCTCACTATTTAGGAACAAAAGAACAAGAGTTGGAGTACTTTAAGGCAAGATTCTTCCGAAATCTCTCATCGAATGAGAGACTTCGGAAGGACCTTGCCAAATCCTTGAACGCCAATATCCTTGGAACTGAGCTAGAACCAGGGAGAAGTAGCATACTATAGAGCACGATGGTAATCTCGGAAATGCTTATATCGCCCCAAGCACAATATTTAAGAAGTCTAACTCATATATACAAGAAGTCAGGCTGAATAGATATTGTGCATATGGTTTGCAGAACTCTCATGATATTTAAAATTCATGTTATCCCAAAAAAGGTGACACTTTGGGTGTATCGTCCATCCCAGGGATGCAAAAATCACATCACCTTGGATCTATAGTTGTTGCTGTTTGATGAAACAAATGAGTTAGTTATGTCAGTCAAGAGAACAGAAAAATATTGTGTTAGTGAAAACTGCACCAAGTCAATAAGATTAGGTTTGCATTATGAAGATGAGTTCGATACTGTTGAAGAAGTTTTGGATAGATATTACAAATTGCTTTAATTTACTAAAACATATTTCAAACAAAGCTTATAGTCAGTAGATAGTTTTGTATACTCGTTCGAATATTTATACTTAAACTCAACTCCTGTAGTTCCTGGTGTTTCAATGATGCGGATGTTACCTATTTTCATGAATAGTGGAGTTTGACCACAGCATTCGATTTCAGGGTCGAGATAGTCAATGACACATTGCTTTCCTGTTATTCGTGATATAACATTTTCAAGGTCCTCCTTTGTTAGAATTATTTGGTTCTTACTTATAAGATTTATCAAAAGCTTCTTATCGTCTTTGAGTAAAATTGTTTGGTATAACTGAAGAAGGTAATGGTCTACGTTATCTGAAGGATTTGTTTGAACATTTGTGTAAGGGTTGTCGTTGGCTTCTCTTGAAAGAATTTGGTCCAGTGGTGGATACTCTAACTTAACATCTGATGTAGCGTTAGCGTTTGAAGCTGTGTTTAAATTCACCGACTTAAGATCTGGTTCTTTTTCTTTCAAACACTCTGAACTATAGTTCTTTATGACAATATTGTTTGTCGTTCGTGAGTCAACATTTGATGTTGGTTCAATTGGAACATTAACGGCACCAGCTAAGATGGATTTGCTTCTCATTTCATATAGAATAAAAACCTTTTATATGTATGAAATGAACAATATACTCGACAAGGGTTTGAATGTAAAGCTAACGAATGAAAATATTGTTGAATTCACTGAGACAGGAGCTGTGTATAAAGATGTAGAACTACTGAACAAAAGAGCTAAGGGAAGAAGCAGGAACATGAACAAAGGGTGGAAGCCTATAAAATTTATGTCAATGATGGCTCAGGAGGTTCAAACATAAAGTATGCAGAAAGTTATAGAGTTTATGCTCTCAAAGGTGAAAAGCCTTCATTTAAGAACAGCTATTCTAACGCATATCCTCAAAAGCTAACGGATGGGGAAGTGGATGATATGAATGACAGCAAAAATATTAACAGAAATGGCGACAGAGATGCATGGAATTTGTTTACCATCAGTCAATTAAAGCATAAGATTTAAAACAATGTTGGTCGTTCCCATGGAATATTTTTGACTTTAATGGTATTAGTCATGATATGAATCTCAAGGTATGAACGAGGAGAGATGAGAGACTTATATGCTTCCCAAATTTCTTCAAAAGGTAATGTTATACCTGACTGTTTCCAAATGAGTTCAATGTCATAACGTGAGAAACCTTGAAAGATAACGAAGTCAGTTATGAGACGTTTTATGTTTAAAGCAAGGAAACGCCATGTTTGCATAAGTATTGCTACAGTTAAATGGTAATGTCTGACTTTAGTTATGATGTTAGCTAATGGTGAGTCTGCTTTTGACACTAAACCTTTTCCGGCGAAGTCGTCACAAACGAGCAGAGTGTTTGAAGGATACTTTTTGAAGGGGTATTTTGAAAGTTTTGATAGAATGTAGTTTGTCAGTCGTTTCATATCGTAAACTCCTGAGTATTGACGTAAGTGGTGTTTGTCAATAATTCTTTCCATCTCTTCTGAAGTCTTTTGCATTCCTGACTGTATGAACTCTACAATAGCATAATATTTTCTCTTACGTCGAATGTAACGTTGAAGAAATTCAATGAGTTCACTGTCTGGAACTTTAACGACAGAGGCTTGAACTTTTGACATAAATGTTTTCGCTGTTGAGTCCATAGAGTCTGAAGTTGCTGATATAATGATTTGGTCATAGTAAGAGTCGTTTCCTAAACGCTCTATTATGAGTATATGACGAATTAAATTAAATGTCTTACCTGAACCCATCTTTCCACAATAGAAATAAACACCATTTGAACAGAACTCATAGTCCTTACTGAAAGGAAGAATAAGAGAACTGTTGAGCTTTTCACTGCTTTCATTCATGTCTTCATCTACGTCATGTATTAAATGCTTCATTTTATCTCCATTAAAAATGCAAGTCAGAAATATTCAGAACATAGCACCGAGTCTAACTGACAAGAGTATAAAGATATACTATGAACACGTTATGATGAAACCTACCAAAATTCAAGAAAGTCAGTATACTTATGAATATCCAAGACACTGGGTAGAGTATGTAGGAGGTGAGAAAGCTATTGAAATCAGACAGGTTCGAAGTATTCCAGCAGGAAGAACAATATTATTGAAGAACTTTAATGTTTTGAGGTATAATGATGAAACAAAGAAGCAAGATAGTTTCCCTGTTGCTGTGTATGTGAACTTAGATACAGGAGATGAACATGAAAGTTTTTAATACAAAGCTTCAAACGGTAGTGAGAGAACAACTGACTGCGGAAGGGCATCCATTACCTTCAGAAGTTACCATAGCATATAATTTTGAAAAAACTCAATAGATTTTAAAGTCATCTCTGCAAAGAAGTCAGGTTTTACATTTAATGAAGCAGATGTATATTCGAATGAAAACTTCAAAGCTATTGCATGGTTAGATAATGACGATTGCTTTAAGAAAATATTTAATACAGTGACTCAACGATGTCAATAGATGACCTTCGTGGATGTTACCATCGACGTTTACAGTAGAAGGTTCAGCAGGATTGCTTACAAGATTGTCAATTGGTGGTATTTGGTCTCGTGAGAACATTGTTTATAAAATCCAGTATAAGTGAATTTGCTGAAGAATCTATATTATGTCTTTCAAACTATATGTATTCGCCGCCGAAGCATTATAGTATAACAAACTTTGTCAGTAAGTTTAACATAAGACTTGTCGAACCTTTCTTCAATGAAAGATGTTGTGCTACCTAAAGATGGAAAGGATGGACTCATTATTGAATGATTTTAATTGCATATTAAATGAGCTTGTTTCTTGAAGGTCATTCATGATGAAATAACTGTTGTAGAAGATGTTAGCAATTGTTCAGACATTTTGAAGCGTATAGATGATATAAGAAATAAGTTAGATAGACGCGCAAAGCGGTGAGGGCGAAGCCCGTGAGAATGTTTATGTTTCATTGACTTTCTCCAGTAACGAGAACTTTTATGAGATAATATTGAAGAGAGATGATTTTAATATGGGGTAAATGGTAGCTTGGGCAGCTTTAGGCGCAATGGGAACAAAAGCATTAGCATTTGGAGCAAAAGCACTTGGAGCTTATGACGCAGTAAATAAAATGAGTGGAGGAAGGGTTTCGAAGACATTAGATGCAAATAAAGGGAAGATTGGAGGCTGG